TGATGATACTGACTGGAGAGAGGGAGAATAGACTTGGATGCACCTCAATAACCTCTGGGGCCAATTATTGTAATTTGATTTGGACGACAAGCTGCTGGAAGAGCGTGGGGTCGGTGGGCCGTGCAGCGTGTGTATAGGGGTGTGTGAATCTCTAGACTTTCAGTCCCTTCACAACAAACCTGCTTTCTTTCCTCCCTCAAAAGGAAGATCTCATTGTTTCTGGACTGCAGATGCTCCCTCACACACTCGCCAATATGAACCCTGCTCGCAGCGACAGTAAACGCACCGGTCTTTCCGCCCTGCATCCGTACATGTTTCGGCATTAGTGTTGAATCAGTTGTCCTCACAGCGTAGGTTCACGTGCAGCTTCCTTTAAACCGTCTCTCGGGATGTTGTTTCCCTGTGATTGTCTTTCACACGGGCCAGAAGCTCAGAGATGCAGGAAACACTTAATGTCTCATAAACTCATCAGAGTGATTAGCAGACTAATGAAGAGACGAGACGAGGGGCGGCGGGAGCGCAGCGCTGCGATCAGGGGCGGCCCCTCCAAGGCCCTGTTTATGATGTAATGAGATAATTGGCGTTACAGGTAGCAGGTTAATTACACATGTAATTACTCAAGCGCTTCAAACCGGCTCTTCTGAAACACTATTGGCATCTGATTATCAACCTTTTATTTCAGCTGCTTTTATTTTCTCCTGTTGTTCGCGAGGTCGGTTTGTTCATGCTGAAAGTTTTTCAAACTTTTTTTCCCATGATGCCTCTCGTTCCACGCATGTTACCTCATTTTATTATTCGGTAACACTTTATTTTGATGGTCCCTTTTGAACATTCTGTTGACTGTAAGGTACTTTGCAATTACATGTCAACTAACTCTCATTAGAGTATTAGTAGAGTATTGGTAGAGTATTAGTAAAGTATTGGTAGAGTATTAGTAGAGTATTGGTAGAGTATTAGTAGAGTATTGGTAGTGTATTAGTAGAGTATTGGTAGAGTATTAGTAGAGTATTGGTAGAGTATTAGTAGAGTATTAGTAGAGTATTGGTAGAGTATTAGTAGAGTATTGGTAGAGTATTAGTAGATTATTGGTAGAGTATTAGTAGAGTATTAGTAGAGTATTGGTAGAGTATTAGTAGAGTATTGGTAGAGTATTAGTAGATTATTGGTAGAGTATTAGTAGAGTATTGGTAGAGTATTAGTAGAGTATTGGTAGAATATTAGTAGAGTATTGGTAGAGTATTAGTAGAGTATTGGTAGAGTATTGGTAGAGTATTGGTAGAGTATTAGTAGATTATGGTAGAGTATTAGTAGAGTATTGGTAGAATATTAGTAGAGTATTGGTAGAGTATTAGTAGATTATGGTAGAGTATTAGTAGAGTATTGGTAGAATATTAGTAGAGTATTGATAGAGCATTAGTAGAGTATTAGTAGAGTATTGGTAGAGTATTAGTAGAGTATTAGTAGAGTAGAGTATTAGTAGACTGTCTGCTTAATATCTGCTAACTCTTTATTGTGATGCTCCTCAAACAGACATTCTACTGACTATAAGTAATACTCTACTAATACTCTACTAATTCTCTACTAATACTCTACTAACACTTTAATGAGAGCTTGTAGACATGAAGGTGCAGTTATAGTCAACAGAATGTGTTAAAGGGACCATCAAAATAAAGTGAAACCTAATTTTCTCAGCATAGGATTTGGAGATTCTGAAATCTGTGGCACTCCTGGGATGACACCGACATGATTGTGTGTGTGTGTGTGTGTGTGTGTGTGTGTGTGTTATTAAGCTGCTTCCTCATACAGACGTCTAATTAAAGCGGTTTATTCCACTTCATTTACAAGCAAAAGAGAAGCTTTAGTTCTTCAGTGCAAACAACCGCACATTACATGAGCAGGAAAACAACACGGCGAGAATGACTGTGAGAGCGCAGCTGTCCGGGACGAGAGTGTTTGTGCAGATGTGTGTGTGTGTGTTTGTGTAGGTTATTCAGCACTAAATGAACTCCAGCATGTGTATGATGTGTTTTTTTAGTCTATTATACTAGCCTATTAGTTCTGCTTCTAGTCTGCTACTAGTCTCAAACAAGTGTGAGTCATTAACACTAGTAAACACTGAGCCACTGACTGCTCTTCCGGCTGAGAGGACGGGTGAAAGCGAGCAGGCGCATTAGGCGCAGGGTTCAGGGCTGCCGCTCTCCGCTCTGACCTGTGTGTTTGTGGGTGAGTGCAGCGGTGTGGATCACTGCTCTCCAACACGAGCTCGGAGAAGAGCAGGACCGGGCCTGTGGACGCGTCTCAGTAATTAGAGTCTTTAAGCCGGACTCTGACGGCACTGCCTCCACCTTCATGCCCCATTAGCCCGAAACAAACCAGTGACTGCACCTCTCCTCAAGACAAAGCTTCAGCCTACTTCATTTGGCCTTTTAGTCTCTTCCGGTTGCAGTTGTTACAATTACATGTTTTATAATCACACGGCTTCTGATGGTCGGCACAGCTTCTGTCTACTCCTGAACTCTCGACAGTAACGCTGTTCTGCTTCAGTGTCTACACTGCCTCTAATTGTTGCATTAAACAGCTATTTCTACCCGTTTTTATCCATGGATATTTGTTTCGGTGGTATAAGTTTATGTAAATATGTTTATTCAGCGATTATTACATAATGTTTTTGACTTAAATAAAAGCAGTTTATTTAAAGGTGTAATTCAATTATTTTTTTACTGTAATTAAACCAGATGTGCTGTGTAAATTTCTGTTGTGATAACGCATATAACAGACTTGAGGTGACGTTATAGAGAATATAGTCACAGCTACAGGGTGCTTGACCTCTAAACTGCTCAGAGTGACTGATATAGACATTGGGCTTCTTTGAAGCAAACGTGTCTATTGTGGAAGAAACAATACAAGTTGCTTTCATCAAATAGTTACCGTATTATAAAAGACGCATATATTCATGAAATGTTAACTGATGATTTAACATCACTAGACACTGGATTGACCAATCAGAAGGCAGGAACACTGGCTAATATTACAGCTGTTTTTTTTTTTTTACAGTTGTCTATGTTATACGGGTCAGTGAGGCCTAGTTTAATGTGGATAAACACTGTCTCTTTCTACAGACTCAAATGCACATGCACACAGTGGACATGTTTGAGCCAGATAGAGGCAGAGATGGGGCGAGTGAGCGAGAGAGAGAGAGGGGGCATGTTTTCCCCTTCTCCAAGGGTACTGCTTTTCCAAAAGTGCCTGGGGCGAGACTGCAGCACCTCGTCTCCCGGAGGCCTTTGGGCGTCTCCTAATAGCCACCCCCCCCCTCATCTGCCCCCGTCTCAGAGGTGCATGATGGGATACTTCCCCTTCCCCCACTCCTCTTCTCCTCGTGTCGTCCTCATGTTTTGTGCTGGAGTTCACATCCGCACAGGTTCAAATGGCAGAGTTGCCAGGGAACAGTCAGAGGCCATTAGCGTTTGGGACGATTCGCCCTGCGGCGCTGCAGCGCTAACCAGTGCGCGGCGGGCCATGTAGATTAGCAGCTTCACGTGTAATGAGCAAGTTTACCCTTTCTTTTCTTTTCTTTTCTTTTGTTTTCTTTCTTTTCTTTTCCTTTCTTTTTTTTCTTATCTTTTCTTTTCTTTTCTCTGTGTCAGTCTCTGTTTCACTGCACTAATCCCGTCGAATCATTTATTTGATTATTTCCACTTCTTTGACTCACTGTCATGTGTGTGCATATTTTCACTAGGGATAGAGTTATCGTTTTTTGGGCTGATTTGTGTGTAGATTATTGGTATCAGCTAAAAACAGAAGCCAACACAACCCGTTATCCCCTCTCAGAGGATAAAGTAAATGTTGTGTAAAATGAGCCTTTTAGCAATTTTGTGTACATTTCATTCTCTGTCATTAAATTGCATTATGTATTTGATTTACTGTGATCTAGATCTGTTGAAAACACACTGATCTCCAGACGTTTAATTTGTGTACATATAGATTTGGTTATCAGCGAGTGTGTGTGTGTGTGTCTGGTTTCAGGGGCCGTAGGGTAATGAAGCGAGTCGTGGGTCTGTAAATACACGCGGGTCGCTCTGGCCAGCGAGCGCTAGGCTATCGTGTTGCAGTGAAAATGGAAACGTCAATAAAATTAATCTGGCCACCTCTTGGCCTGGACTGCTCGCTGTGGTCCACTCATAACACACCACAACTAGGCAAGCTTACACTCCTCCTCCAGATGTCATTAGAGCAGATGAATAAACTGTGTTTGTCATTGCTTCTCTGAACACGTGTGTGTTGCGAACCCCTACACCTGTGAGGTCACTTCTGCATCGGCCAGAGAAACAGCACTACAGAGAATAAAGTAATAGATTAAAACAGAGAGGGAAAGGCTTTCAACTGTCCTTGTTTTCTTCATGTATTTTGCATTTCATTACGCCACCCATCGGATCTGTTCTCTTTGCTCCTTTTTAAAGTGATTATCTGAAATATTAATGCGTGATTATTGCTTATATAGGTGCGTGTGATTGATGTCTCCCCAAAAACAGAGCGACGTGCAAGTGTAAATTTGTAGAATATCGCGGCGTAGTGCAGGAGTTTTTCAGATACATAATTTAGATGCCCTGAAGGAAGGCTTTCAAGGCATTTTCGCCCAAGGCCAAGAAAAAATAACTGACTTTTTAAAGTAAATCATTTTTGCTAATGCACAATTAATGGCTGAGGAGAAAGAAAGTAGGTTATGCAGAGACCCGACCTGCCCTCACACATGGGCATCAGCGAAGGCGTGTCAGACGGGCTCGGGATATGCAAATGAGGAGCAGGAAGGGGAGGGGCCGCGGGATTGTGCACGTGTGTATATCGCGTTGTAGCTTTTGCATACATTTTTTTTGATGTTGCTGTTCTTCTTGCTTTGACGTGAGGGCGTCTCTGTATTTTAGGGTTTGTGTACGTTTGTATAATGTCACTGTGTGAAAGATTGTGTCCCAGTTTTCTAAAAAGCTCTCCCTTCCGTCCAGGAGATGGTTTAGACAACAGCGTGGCCTCACCCGGCACGGGCGACGATGACGATCCAGACAAGGACAAAAAGCGACAGAAAAAACGAGGCATCTTCCCTAAGGTCGCCACCAACATCATGCGGGCATGGCTCTTCCAGCATCTCACAGTAAGTCTCAGTCTTTCCATGAGCTTTCTGTATCTATGATTGGGGAAACAGTGCTGAGATCGCACACTTGTACTCTTAATTAAAACTCTTACAAATCAGAATCAATGCACAGCTATCAACATTCATACAACAGTTAGATCCGGCCGCTGCTGAAACGCTTGCGTTGTGTTACTTGGCGACATGCAACGGTTGATCCTGATTTGACTCCATTTGGAGCAGTTTTCATGTGAAGAGCAGAACTAAACAAATTATTTAGCCATTTTGTGAGTGTAATGGCATTTGATGTTAAAGTCCCCTGTAGTCAATCATTTTATCCAGGAAGATAAAATCTTTGATCACCAAAATGACATATTAAAGGGTTTTTTCCTTGAAGAAAAAGTCTTCATGCCTTAAAATATCTTGACTGTAACTCGACACCCTCGCCTCATTTAGTATCAGCGGTTCTATGAATATGCAGATGAGCCCCGCCTCCACTCACTCCCTCAGCTCAGAGATCCACTGGTTGATGATCACACGTTGATCTGATTGGTTACAAGGTCGTTTGTGACGTCAGAAACACCAGCGATTTCAAACCGTGTTTTTGAGACTGTCTTTGGTTCACTGCAGTTTTAAGCAGAAAATACTCAGCAATGCTGTCGACTTATGAACTTACACATGGTGTGTCTTAAAGCGTATTAAAAACACCACATACACACATAAACAACTTTAAAAGCTGGATTTACACCACAGGGGGACTTTAAGTTCAGTATCAGAATCTCCTCATGTATAGTGTATAAGTGTAGTGCTGACCACTGTAGTTTTAATCAGTTCCTCCTGACGAACGCTTTTAGGGTTCAGTGACTGTGTAGGTCTAGTTGTTGTGGCACGAGGAGAGAGCGCTGTGTGTGTGTGTGTGTGTTTAGAGAGGTGGCATGCGGGGTCGTGTTCCCTCGGCCTCTCTGATGTCACGACATCATCCGCGGCTCAGGATATATCGATCGGGACGGGACGGGTCGGGTTTCTGAGGGATGGGCATGTGAACTGAGAACGGCCATGTGTGTGTGTAGGACTGTGTGTGTGAGGGAGTCTGGCTTCGGACCCGCTGATCTAACCCAAGCCAGAATAATGACGGCTAATTAAAAGGGCTAAAGCCATTAGAAACATTAGAGGGATAATCAGAGGCGCTGAACTCTGCCATGCGCTTATAACTCTCGTAATCATCAGAACAACAATCTGATGGACAAAGACACTTCACTTTTCTCTGCATTATTCTTGCGCTCTTTTCATTTGTCGTCCCTTTCGCACTCTCAGACCCGCTTGTGTGTGAAGCAGTGAAGAGAGAGCCACCTACCTCGCCGCTTTCACCCACAGACGCCTCTCGCTTCTTTCACTCGGCTCCATATCACGCAGGAATTTCACACTGTTTTCAGAGATCATTAGGCGTCTTTACTGGCAGCTCAGAGATCCCATTCACAAGAGACGCACTCCCGTTTCCTTTAGAATTGTTTTAAAACGCCCTGAAAACCTAAGGAGAAGTTTCCACTAATGGAAATACAGGAGTTTCCATCGTCCTTTTAGATGTTTCTCTCATTTCAGAGTCTTTTATGTGTGCGAGTAATAATTCATCCTTTCTATTTTTTTTTTTTTCGGGCCAAAAAGGCTTAATTGAATTATCCCAAAGTACCAACCGCTGTCCTTTACACCGCACGGCCGTGCCACACACTAACACATCAGGCCTTTTATTTTAATTTGTTAAGCAAATGTATTTTCCAGTTCAGGATGCATTTGTGTGCGGGTGAATTCATGGGGACGCTGGCCCTGAATGGCCCGTAGCGGCAGCTCTCCATTCAACCATTCATTCAAGGGTGCAAAAGAAAAGCAGCGAGGTTGTATTTCTCAACCGCGGGGCCAAAGCGGAGCTGCTCCTCCACGAGCGGTGGGGGTCCCTTTACATATGTTCTCAACATTGAGCCATTGTCAGTCATTCTGAGGGGCTCAAAAGGACGTAACCCCTTCCCTCCCCCCGTCTCCATCCCCCGAGCCCACAAAACAAGGCGCCAGCTAACAGTTACAATTGTGGGCTAAAATCGATGGCCTCCCTCTCTGACGCTGGTAGCCCACCCTTACATGGGGGAAGCCTCTCTGAGCCAGCGGGTCATCTGTGGCCAACAGCCAAATCCCAGAGGATCAACCCACGAGAGATGCATGCAGTGACTGAAGTGGAGCGTTTGGGTCAGAACGCACTGCCGCTGAAGCCCGAGAGATGTGCTCTTGCTCCTGGAGCTCGCTGGATCTCTTCCAGTGCCATTAGCGGGTAGGAAATCCCAGATGGCTGCTGTAAGCTTTCCCATACGGCACAGAGCTCATGTTATCGGAAAGATAAACTCCTCTGTGGGGCGTATTGCTCTATTAGACTTCATATTTAATGAAGGAGAGAGAAGAGCGTTCCACTAGGCTCACAGTAGGGCAGTAGTGATCGCGCCAGGGTCACCCAACAGTTTAATGGAGACAAACTTTGAATCCTCTCAATTAGTGCGTTGGCGCCCTCAGTGTGTCTCCCGCTAAGAGGAGGGTCAGCCGGCAATGAAAACAGGAAGCACTCGGACACAAAGATATCACTCCGGGCCTGCGCTGTCCTTTCACTTCGGTAAGCCCACAGAAAGCAGTGAAAATAAATAGGCTCGTTTGGACATGAGGCTCAACCAATGGCATGAGGATTTGGCGAAAAGTGAATATTTATTGGACAATAATTTTGATTGGGTCGTGAAAAGTTAGTTGTGATGTTATTGGCTTAGTTTATTTTGGTAACACTTTACAATAAGGTTCATTAGTTAACGTTAGATAATGTATTAACTAACCATGAGCAATACAGTATTGATTAATCTTTGTTAATGTTAGTTAATAAAAATTCAGCTGTTCATTGTGTGTTCATGTTAGTTCACAGTGCATTCACTAATGTTAACGAATACAACCTTTGATTTTAATAACGCATTAGTAGATGATGAAATTAATATTAACTAAGATTAATAAATGCTGTGGAAGTATTGTTCATTCTTAGTTCATGTGAATGACTCACCTTATTGTAAAGGAAACAGGCTTTACACATCAACTAAAAAAAGTCAATTCAATGGCGGAGAAAGTTAGTATATGTTGCAGAAAAAAGTATGTAAAGTTTTCTTCAGAATAACATGCACTTATTAAATGTAAGTGCATTTAGTAAAGATGGTTGATTTTGATTTCATGTTGACACTGGCAGCTGATCATTTCTCGTCGTTTGCTTTTGATTCACAAGTTACAAACCTCATCAAATGACTGTGTAAACAAATAAACAGGATCAGCCAGGGATCAGGAGTCACACAGGCAAGCAAACACACTCGTTCCCGAGGCTTGGCTCGTATTAAACATTCGGGCTGATCAGTTCTGACTGTTTGCATGTCTGATTCACATCACTGTTCACTTCCACTGCAGCACATCTGACAATTGTTTTAAACAATGGACAACCACAAATAAACACAAAATGTACACTTAGAAAAAAAAAACTTCAGACAACCCCCCCCCCCCCCCTCTCTCTCTCTCTCTCTCTCTCTCTCTCTCTCTCTCTCTCTCTCTCTCTCTCTCTCTCTCTCTCTCTCTCTCTCTCTCTCTCTCTCTCTCTTTCTCACACTCTCTCTCTCTCACACACACACACACACACACACATGAAATGTGGTCGGTAGGTTCTCTTCACCCCTGCCGTAAGAGTTTTCTCAGGAAAGGTTTCCTCCCTCACTGTTTGCTGTGATGCAGGGCATTCTTAAAGCAGCAGTTTCATTTAAGGCCCAGCGAGGTTGTTTAGTGACGCTCCGGGGGGTTGCAAAGGGCCAACACTAATCTATCATGGGCGTGTTTGCCATCCATCACCAGTGCAGCCTATATAACAGTTCAGTTCTCTCTGTGTGTGTGTGTGTGTGTGTGTGTGTGTGTGTGTGTGTGTGTGTGTGTGTGTGTGTGTGTGTGTGTGTGTGTGTGTGTGTGTGTGTGTGTGTGTGAGTGTGTGAAGCCTGAAGACCAGAAACATACTTACACTGATGTGTGCTTTTGCACCCCTTGTGGCAATGCTGAGAATGAAAACAGTTTTGGTAAAGCAGTGTTTTGGACAGTGACCCCACGGTGGGGACACTCTCTCTCTGCTGTCTGCCCATTTGCTCTGTTGATTCAGACCTGTTGTAAATCTAGGAAATCAAGTTTGTCACTGCAAACTGCAGTCAGCTGACCAGATGTCCATATCCAGTGACTCTTTCATTCTTGCAGGTTATGGAATTATGTTTAACCCACATCAACCTTCATCTGTGTGTGTGTGTGTGTGTGTTTTCAGTGTTTGACAGATCTTGGACAATATTGTGCCTGAGAAGTTTGCGTCAACTAGCATTTGGCATCAATATTAGCTTCACATCTTAAATACACATTTTGTTTTCAGATCACCGCATCCTTGTTTAAACTGTTGCAGCTGCATTATTCTTTAATAAGTCTCCGTGCATTAACATGTGTAACCTGAAGGCAGTTGTTAGTGTGTTCCTCTTTCTTGATCTTGTCTTTGAGCGTCATGCTGTATGTTGTGTAAGACTGAACTTATCGCATGTTTTATCATGGATTTATGCTTTTTGGAGATGGATGAGTCTCTGAAATCTTTGTCGGTTGAGGGATGACCTTGCAGACACTTGGAATGCTCCAACATACCCAGACTGAGTCGGTATTAATAAAGACAGCTTGGACAGGCTGGAACACGCTGTTCCATGCATGTGTGTGTGTGTGTGTGTGTGGAGGGGAATGCTTTTGCTCTGACCTGAAGATACACATAAACAGTGAGGAGAACAAGATCTCTAGTTTAGTAACTTTAGATCCAACTGACCTCCACACAGTGTCTGCCCAGAACACCAGGCTGGCTAACGGCACAGGGAACGGCAAATCCTCAAACTTCCAGCACTTGTTGGTTTTGTGTTTTCCCCCCTAATGGACTTTGTGATAGACTGACTTCAGTATTA